AATTTGAATTTGACTACTTAGTTCCCTGGATTTGTTCAATAATTTGTTGAATTAGCTCTTTTCTGATTAATAGTGAACATATTGCTTCGAAAAAATGTGTTTAAGCATGTCCCGCATCGATATTTCAATAACTGTTCGATCTCGGGATCAAAAATCGATCCCGGGACTGAAAAATCGCCTGGATTTTGCAAACCCCATTGACAAAAGAGGTTGTTTGGAAATCAATAAGCTCCAACTGAAATGCTGCCTCATCCAACGAGGGGATGGTTTCTTTAGCCAGGGAGGATATATCCGCATTTCGGACAGCGACAGGGTCACGAACAAAAGCGATGATATCCCTGGGGATGGAGTAGTCGTCAAATCTGGACTTGAAGTTGGCCTGTAGCTGTTTGATGACATCCACCATTATATCTGTCACTTGTCCCCGTGACTGTGATTTCAGTGCACTCAAGTGCAGGAGCCTGCTAGTTGTTATGCCTGACTGGAACAACTCCAGGTTCTTGGTAAACGATTCAAGCTTTTCAACCATGTTCACAATGGTTTTGCCTTTCCCTTGCAGCCGAAGGTTAAGCTGGTTCAGATGACCAAAAATATCAGTCAAAAATGCCACATTGGACATGGATATTTCATTTTGTAGAAAGGCAAGGTGGTCGTTTGCAATTCGACTCTTGCTTAGGCTCAAGAAGGCTTTGACCTCATCCAATAGTGCCCAGAAGTGCTCCAGAGCTTGGCCTTTACTTATCCGGCGCACGTTGTTGTGGAGCTACTTTGCTTGGACTATTTCACGATTTTTGCGACAAGCCTTAGCCTACAGATAAGGGAAAGATATGTTCGAAAAAAAAGAGTAAAAAAACCAATAAAAAAACATGTTGGCCCGCCAGTCACTCGCCAGTCAGTTGCTCGGAGAAATTTTGGCCCGTTAACAAACCAACTTGCCGACCCCTGCTCTAGACTGTTCAGTCCCCTGACAAGCAGTACCGTTACTTATAGTTAATATGTCATAGCGTAGTTTCCGGCTATTTAGTCCCCTGTACCTCGCTTCGGTTCGATTTGAGCAATGTGAATACTTTCACCATTTAGTTCAGCATTTTGTGCGCGTATTCCAAAACGCGTTCTATGATATATTATGATGTGCTAAATTCACTCTCAGTAATGCTCATTTGTTTTGGTGCGATTACGGACAGCATAGAGGTAACGTGAGTAATGATCGAAATGAATTGAGGAATTTAAGATTATTTAGGATGTTTCTATTGGCTGCTGTTTTGATGGGGAGCAGTGACTTTCGGCTTCAACCCTCATTACTTAAAACCGAAACCGAATGCTTTCTTTTACTACCTTATAGAACAGTGGCCCTTACGCTCAGGTAGTGTTCGTCGAGGAGCGGTTTTTCGGTCGGAGGGGGGTCCT